TGACCTGCAATTCAACAACTCATACCCAACACCAAGAAACCACAAAAAGCTCCAGGAAATGGAACAAAGTTCAAAAAGGGATTACACAGTGAAGAAACTTAAGATCAGTCCTGGAGATGAAGAATCAACTCAGGGAATACAAATACTGTGAAAGTCTCAAGAACAGTGATCAAGCAGAAAGAATCTCAGAGATTGAAGATTACACCTTCCAATAAAATGAAACAGTCACAGAATACAGCAGAAAAAACAAGAGAAAAGAACAAGCCTACAGAGGCTGTGGGATTATGTGAAAAAACTAACGTGAGTCATAGTATAGGTTGTAAGGGAGGAACAACACTTCCAAGGGCTGTTGACAGCTTTTGAAGATATAATAGAGGAAATTTCCCAGGCCTGGCTCAATCTCTTATAAGTTCAAATCAGAGGACCTCTGGAGAGTTCAACTATTCTTCCACCAGATATATTCTCCAGCAAACTGTTATTAACTGAGTAGCACCTAAGTGGACACATAGGTGCTACAGTAATAGGGTATTGGAGAGGGGGTGTGGGGGGGCGGGTATATACATACATAACGAGTGATAGGCTCACCATCTGAGGGATGGTCACGCTGGAGACTCAGACTTGTGGGGGGAGGGGGGGAAGGGCATTTATTGAAACTTTAAAATCTGTACCCCCATAATATGCCGAAATAAAAAAAAAAATCTTAAAAGGAGTTTTATAGATGAGTTAACTTAGATTTGAGGAGTTTGGCTCCTGGTTAAAAATCTACTGTGATTTTTCAAACTGGACCATAGGCAATGACACAGGTTTGCCTGGCACGCCTCCTCAGGAACCTGCCCTCCCCATGTCAGGCTGGCCGATGTGTTGCATCTCCTGAGGCAGGTGTGGTTGGCTCTGTGGATGCCAGCCATGCTCTTTGCACACTTGCATCACTAGCCAGCCTTAGGCCTGCTTCGGCCTCCTCTGCCTAGGCCTCCTGACGGGGGGACCTCGAGGACACGTTTCCCTACAGTTCCTCAGTTCTCTCCACTCAGAACACGCCCCCAACCCAGGGTCCATAAAATTGATGGATCATTTGTTTGACACTTCCTCAACAGACAGATACCCCCCTGTGCATGCAGTGATCCACCTGGCCCTTGGGGTACACCATTCCGTGGGGGGAAATGGCACAGAGAGGTGGAGCTATCTCCCTCTCTATCTGAGTAGCAGCCTGAGCCTGGTCTCATCAGACATCTGCCATGGCCTGTGTTGTAAGGGTTTATCTCCCCATGAGTGCAGATGGGGCAAGGTGTCCCCTTCCCCTGGCTATTGATGGCCACTCCTCATGAAGTGGAAGATCTAAGAGGGCTGGCTTCCCTGAGGAAGGGCTGCTGTCTGCCTAGGGTTGTAGGAACATCTTTGTTCCTCATGTTAGAACATCTAAATATTTTTTAATCTGCAGTTAAAGAACTAATTAGGATTTATTAACTCAGTGCTTTCACAGTTTCTTACTAAAAGGAAATATAGAGGGTTACTAAATGAATGAATTATAGGTGTGGATATTATGAGGCCACTACCTAGCTAATCAAAATAACCAAGACCCCAGAGGACTTAAGCGACTTTTGGAATGCCGTTCTTTATTCTCCTGTGAGTAGAGTTGATGCCAAGGATGGCATACATCATCTTAAAGTAATAAGGAAGCTACATTATGAATATCTGACTCCAAAGAAGGTAAAAGTTGTCCAGTTTATTCTTCATTTCCAAAAGGTTAAACTTTCTCTGGCTTCTGAGATCCAGGAAATAGTATCAGCTTCCAGATGGAGGTGAAGCCGTGGGCTCTGTAGAGTTCCACTACCCTCTCCTCTTTTCTCTTTCTACTAAATTTCTAGTCCATACATCACCAGGTTTTGAGGAGATAATTAGGCAATTGAGTGTTTTAGTTTGAAAGATCACTGGTTGGAGTAAAGAATACACGGGGCAGGAAACACAAACACAAGCTTGTAGGTGGTCTCAACAAAGGCCTTTCTTTTTCTATTTTGCTTAATTAGATTCCTAAGAAGTTGAAACAAGATATTCAGCAGATACACTGTAAGGCAGATGAGTGCCCTAGGAAAATTGATAGTTGACTATGCTAGGTTGTGCTATTTCAGGAAACAAAGAACATTTCATGTAGGGAACTTGTTACACAGATGATGAAAAGCTACAAAAGCAAATGGAGCATGAGGCGCCCTTGAGATTAGCAGACAGCAGGTGCCTGGACTGAGGACCCATGAGGAGGTGTCAGCCACAGCCCAGCGTGGGGTCTCAGGGCAGGAGCTGGAACTGCTCATGGAGGCATCACTTAATTGGGAAGATTCCTTAGTTAGTTCTTTACCTGCTGAGTTTTCAAATGCTGCAGTCAAGATACAGTTGTGTTCTTAAGTAATTTTTGTGAAAGCTATGGTCCCACCAGGGTCTCAGTATTTGCCTTGGGCATTTGTTCGTTCGTGCGTTCGTTCGTTCATTCATTCATTCATTCATTCATTCATTCATTCATCCTACCCATTCCTATTGAGCTTCATGATATATCAGAACTGCTTTGTGCTAGGAAAGTGGCCTTCAGGTGAAATCAGACTGTGTTAGTCAGCATTCTTTAGAGAGACAGAAACAGTAGGAAATATAGAAGGGGATATGTTGGGAGGGATTAGTTCACTGATCACAGAGGTCAAGTCCCACAATAAGTCAACCACAAGCTAGAAGACCAGAGAAGCCAGCAGTGTGGCTGTGACCAAGTCCAAAGCCTCAGAACCAGGGAGCTGACAGTGCAGCCCCAGCCAAGCCTGGGAGCCCCAGGGGGCTGCTGGTGCAAGTCCCAGAGTCTGAAAGCCAAAGAACCTGGAGTCTGATGTCCAAAGTCAGGAGGAGAAAAAGCACCTTGCTCCAGAAAAGAGAGAGTAAGCAAAGAGAGTGAATCTTTCTACTTCTACCTGTTTGTTCCAGTTTGGCCCCAGCTCACCGGATGGTGCCCACCTACATGGAGGGCGGGTCTTCCTCTCCCGTGCAATGCCTCACAGGTCAGTCTCCCTGGAAACACCCTCACAGACACGCCCAGACGCAATGCCTCACCAGCCGCACAGCACCCCTCAACCCAGTCACGTGACTCCGAATGTTCACCATCACACACACCACAGGGGCACACAGGCAAGATTTAAAAGAAATCCTCACAGTGGTTCTATTTGGTAACTGTATTGTGGTTGCTTGTCAATGGTCCATTTCAATCAAGACCTCATCTTGGAGACAACATTTTAATTCTCTTCTTGTGACAGGTCTCCAGGTGAGGCAGTTTCCCCCAGCTGTGACTGGCTCCTCTTTCTCCTCCTCATGAGCAGCTGTCATGGGGATGGCTACCTTCTGCTCATCTTTGGAAAGATTTGCTTTGCTCATTCAAAGTAACATCAGCTAAAGGAGCTTGAGAAGCCCTTAAATATTCCATTCTTAGACCCCAAAAGAGGGAGAAGGAAAGCTCCACCCTGAAAGCCCCATCATGTGTTGATCCCTCCCAGAGGGATCGTTTGCATGCTTAGGAGATATTCTACCCTTGATTGTATCTTCTTTTTCATGGCCATTAAAAACCAAATGAACAAAAACCCAAATAAATAAGCTCCAAACCCTTGTGCACGTTTTCATATAAATGGTTGATTTTGCAAAACTCCAAATGACTGTTTTTGGCTTAGGCTCCTCTGCCTCTTCTCACTCACCTCTACAGACTCTCCAAGCACTCTCCAAACAGGGCTGCACACTACAGGTGCTCCTTCACTTAGGATGGGGCTATGTCCTGATAAACCTATTGTGAGTGGGAAATATTGTAAGTCAAAAATGCATTTTAATACACCTAACTTACCAGACATCATAGCTTAGCCTCGCCTACTTTAAACATGCTAAGAACACATAGTAACCTGCAGTTGGGCAAAACCATGGAACACAGAGCTTGTTTTATAATAAAGTGTTAAATATCTCATGTAATTATTGAAAACCATAATGAAAGTGAAAAACAGAAGGGTTGTATAAATATTTGAAATACCATTTCTAGCAACTGTTATCACTTTTGCACCGTTGTAAAGTCAAATAATCTTAAGTGGAATCATAAGTCAGAGACTGTCTATATTATTATTACCCTTTGTAAGAACCTCAGTCAGAAAGTTTAGAAAGACTAAAAGAGAGAGAGGTTTAAAGTTTATTTTTCACAACAGAGGGGGCAGTGCTTATGCATTTGGGATATGGGAAGCTGATGTGTCACAATGAACATCTTTAGTAGCACTTTGGATCCAACTCACTTCATCATACATTTATGGCACCAGATGCTGATTTAGAGAAGAGAAGGTATTGCTCTCATGGAGATCACAGTCTCATAAAAAGACAGATACATGAACAAATTTACACTCATGGAAAGCACCTTGGTCAACAACCTCCTGGTAGGGGGATGGATGATAACTAAATCTGTCCCCAGGTATGGGGGTGGGGGTTGGAGGATTGGATGTCAGAGCTGGGTTTTGAAAGGTGGAGAAAATAAACTTCCATTCTTTGTTTTCCATAGGCTAGGAGCAAGTCTTGAAAAGCACCCTCTCTCTCTCCCTTTCCTCCTCCTGTGCTTTGCATGGCTGGCTCCCTCTCACCCTTCAGGTCTCAGTGAGAGTCTTCTCTGCAAGGTTGCCAGTCCCCTTACCTGGATAAGCCCCTGGCACCCAGTTACCTCCACCACAGCAGGCTGCATCTCCCTCCTGGCTTCACGTCCCAGTGCAGAATCGCTTAGCATGTAGGGGTGGGTTTTGAGCTTCTCTCCCAGAAGACAGTAAGCTTCCTAGGAGTAGCAATCATGTCTGTTGGACTCTATCACCAGAATCTAGAAGGGTTCTGGGCAAGAAATAGACATTCAAGAAATATTTATTGAAGTATTGGACATATGCAACTTTTACTGTGGGAATATAGAAAAGCCTGAAGTTGCTGTTGATATAGGGATGATATCAGAGGATTTATTAGTTACAAGTAACCGCTAATCGATGCCATTCCTTATAAAATAAACTAAAATAGGTTGTCATAAATTTACACATGCTATTGATGAGGATCTATATTAATGATTTAAGCTTGTAGGTAATTTTAATTTTGGTTGTGAATAGAAAAGCATTAAAAATCTTTTCTTCATGTCAGATCTTGGTAAATAGCTTTCAATGACTATTTTCTACCCCATTTAGTCTAGATTTCCCCCATCAATATTGAAGGCTCTTTAAAATATGACCTCTCCTCTATTATTTTCCGCTATTCCCTAATCCACAGCTTACAGTTTAGACAGGTCCTTTTGGGTTCTCACATGTCACATTCACACCTGTCCATCTTTCATGGGGATCCCCACCCTTCACAGGGGACTTTCCTCATTCTTTGCCTTCACTGACTTTTGCCAAAGTCTCTTCTCACCTCAACTTCTATCTTCCACCCTCCCCAGCTGCTGTGTCTCAGAGATTTCTGTCTCCTGAGTGCTTCATGTGTCTGGTGACTCTGCTCTCAATTCTGTTCTGGCCTGTGGTGCTCAGTGTGGGTCCACGTGTATGGGGCTTGCCTGTCCACCTGATTAATCATACTCCCCTTACCTGCAAAGCAGAGCTAATGCATCTGTCATAGATGAGAGAGAGGTAAAATACGTCGAGTAGCTGGCCAGCAGCAATGCCGGTTCCCTCTTGTTCTGTTTCTGCAGAGAGAGCCCAGGTCTCAGCATAGTGTGTTGTTTAGGAAATGGAATTTGATTGGCTGATTCCTAGTGAGGGGGCTAAGATGTAGTTTGCGGAAGCAATGAGTAAATCCAGAGAATGATCGCGGCCGAAATTAAGGGGAAAAGTTTTATTTTCTCTTTTTTATACCCTGGTTCAGGATACAGAGGGTAATTTTGCCATTGTACTCATGAACAGGGAATTTTGAAAAAGGTATGGACTACTAAGTGTGCATTTGTATGGGAAATATTTTGACAAAACGTTATCCTAGGTAAGTGTGGTCCTTCACCAAGTCTCTTAGAAGGAGAAGGGAATCCAGCCAGGTAACCAACCACGTTTACTCCAGGCAAGTCAGGTTCCCAGCCTGGGGACCACAGCGAACAAAAGAAATGGGATGTTGAAAACCAGGCAGGTTGTTTTCAGGAAATTCCCCTGCTGAGCTTCTTGGTCCTTTTTCATGTGTAGGTGTGCACACACACAGACACATGCCTGTGCACACACAGGCACACATGAGTACAAACAAGCACACACCGCTATATACGGAGGCACACACAGAGATAGACACACAAACACACACATGCACACAGATATGCACAGACCACACAGATGCACTCATGTACACACATGCACACATGTACAAAGGCACACAAACAGATATACGCTTGCAAACACGCAGATACATACACACACAGACACACAGATACACACACAGACACAGGCACACACTTCACACACTTTACTCGCGTCTTCAGTGCAGGGACGCATCCTGGCCACCAGGCGGCGCCGCGAGAGCCGCGCTGGGAACCGCGCTGGGAACCGCGCTGGGAAGCGCGCTGGGAAGCGCGCTGGGAAGCGCGCTGGGAACCGCGCTGGGAACCGCGCTGGGAAGCGCGCTGGGAACCGCGCTGGGAAGCGCGCTGGGAACCGCGCTGGGAAGCGCGCTGGGAACCGCGCTGGGAACCGCGCTGGGAGCGGCCAGCGTGGTCCCGCCAGGAGCTGCCACCGCGCCACTTTCTGGTTGACCTTTAATGAAAACCGAGCTGCCAAAGCAGCTCCACAGCAAATTTCATTAGTAACAGAAGATCCATCTAAGACCCACCGTAGAGCTGCCCCGGCCAGTTCCTCTTATCTGAGGCGGCCGCAGCGGAAACAGCTGAGGAAAAGAACCCGAATCGGCCTTCAGCGGGCTGGGCGCCGCGGGAAGGGCGACGGGGCGGCTCCGAGCCTCGCGGGGCGGCGCTTGGTGAGGGGGCCACCTGCCGTAGGCTAACAAAGACTGTGCCTCAAAAGCAGGCGGGGGCGGAGCCCCTCCACGGCCGGCGCTGGCGGCCCCCCCGAGCGCGGAGCTCGGACTCGCCCCCGTGGGCCCGAGGAGCTGGCGCCCGGGGAGCCTCAGAGGCGCGCTCGCGCCCGGGGAGCCTCAGAGGCGCTCTCGCGCCCGGGGAGCCTCAGAGGCGCTCTCGCGCCCGGGGAGCCTCAGACGCGCTCTCGCGCCCGGGGAGCCTCAGAGGCGCGCTCGCGCCAACAGGCCGTCCACAGCGGCCGCCTGCACGTCTGGAAAGTGGAGCGCGATTCGGCGAAGGGCTGCGGTGTACGCGCTGCTGCCTGCGGAGGCGGCCGCCCGACGCGGGCGTTTGCGAGGGCTGAGCCTTCCGAGCAGGCGCGTTTCTGCAGAGGTGGCCCCGCGGTCACTTACTTTTTATGATTCCATTCGTATTGGAGTTTCATGCGGTCAAAGGGAGGGCACGGGGTGTCACTGATTCTTGAAATCACACAGATCGTCAGACTCCCAGTTTGACAATGGCTTGATAAAAGGACTTCCGAGTTGTGATCTACCGAAACGGGCTTTGGTCTGTTTAAGCAGAAAAGAGAATTACTGAGATTATACTGGAAGGTCGGCTACCAAGGCTCTGAAGATGTGCTGGCGCCAAAGGCCGCTCCCATGACTCTGTAGGAGCATCTCGGGAGAACCCTGCCGCGGCACTCACGGGTACCAGGCCTCGCTGCGGGCTTGAAGCAGTGGCTGCTGCCCTGCCGCCACCTTCAGGAGCCCTCTGCTGTCCCAGTTTACCCAGTCACTCACTCCAGCATCAGAGCCCGTGGGCAAGCGTCCAGTCTGCCAAGGCCGTGTTGTGGGTTTGCTCTCCAGCCAGGAGAGCGATGTCGGGACTCCCAGTTTCCGCAATGAGAGGCTGGCTGGACTATGCAAAGGAAGGTTGCCCAAAGCTGGGGGAGGAGTTTGGACCATGGTCAGCTGCAAAGCCACAGATGTCCACCGTAGGTTGTGGACTCAGACTTGAAATTGGGAACCATTTGTGGGTGGGCTCAGAAAGGTGCTGGGTGGATTTGAACTTGAGGGGTATGCAGTGTGCCAGTGGACTGAAAGTGAACTATTTATTCATAAGTGTCTGTTTTTAGGGCATAACCAAGTGCCGCAGCCGGGCACCTTGCTGGGAATACCCCGTTGCTGCTGCCCTCCTGTTCCTGCAGCACCCTGGGGCCCCGCCTGTCAAACGCGCCTGCTCCTGAAGGGCTGTGTGCTCAGCCCCGCTCCAGCCTCTGTCTGCTGTTCCTCTTATGCTCACAGGCTTGATGGTGCCTCACCCACGTGGCCCCTCCCAGGATTGCAGGGCATCCAGTGCCCTGACCTACACCTTTGCCAGTTAACAAGATGCTGCCTGTTAACAGGTGCTTCATTAGAATCACCTGGGAGGCTCTCAAGCTCAATTAAATCAGAATTTCCAGAAGGGACTTGGGCTCCAGACTTTTTACAAAGCTCCCCAGTGATATTAAGGAGGAAGGCTTTAAGGTTAAAAAAATCCATTAAGTATTTACTGAGCTGTGGTGGAGGCACCTTGGAGGCCGTTCTGATGACATTAAGTGGCCCTGGGCATCTCAGCACCTACCAGCATCTGAACTTGACCCTCTCATTACTGCCCTCCGGCCTGGCAAGTGCCGTTGCCCTGTCTGAGGCGCCTCCTCACCCTTGCCCCTTTCGTGGGCCTTACCTATGCTTTGGTTCTCTACTCCAGTGCTGATCCTTTCTGAATCCTCCCTCCACTGTTCCTGCCTATGTTGGTCTCTTCTTGGAATTGCTGTCACACTTACCTTCATTTTACTACTTAATCCTGCCCTTTCCCTTATTTCCCTTATTCAAGACCATCTGCTCAGTATATGGTGGACTTTGGCTAAACGTGTACGTTTGTGTGCAGAGATGCACAGTGTAGCTCTTGCCTTAAGAGGTCTCATGTTCTTCTTCACGATTCATGTCTTAGCAATTGGACTATAAGATCTTTGATATCGGGGTTGTGGTGTATGCCTCCTGTGGACTTTGAGTGCCTAGCACACAGTAATGCCCTGTTGCTTAGATCAACACATACTCATAATTTTTATTATTTTTTTTAGCCATTTAGGGTTATGGTCAGCCTTACAATTGAAGACTTACTGTCAATAACAGAATACTTTTCATTAGATACTTAAAAGAAGATGATACTGTACACAACTTTTATGAGTCTTAGTGCACAATAGCATAGGTGATAAAAAAATATAAGGTAATGCTACAGACAAGTTTAGGGAGGAAAGCCAAGGAGTGTTTTATTGCTATCTGTAAAAATTATAGCTATAATTTCATGAGTGCTTTCATGTGCCTGACACTGTGTCCAGTGTTTATGCACATCATCTGTGTGGTCCTCATAGAAACCCCACGAAGTAGGTGCTGTCATTCCCATTTTATAGATGAAGATAATAAAGCTCAGTGGTGATAGAAAATCATGGTTACACACTTAGTGGCAGAGCAGAGCTTCACCTCAAAGTTGCATCTGCTTTTGCATGTTGCCTTCTCTCTCTCTCTCTCTCTCTGTGTGTGTGTGTGTGTGTGTGTGTGTGTGTGATTTGAAATCAATTACTCTGAGTGGAAGTAGGAGAGAACCAACATTGTCATGCGGTGGAGACATTATGGTCTGCAGGAATAACAAGGAACAGTTATAGGTGGATTGAGTGAGACTAAAAGAGTGAAAGCCTGGGCAAGTTTGGGTTAAAACCCACCAGAAAAATTTGCCAAAATCCAGCCCTGATTTGTAGAGAATGTTGTTTATGTGCAGATGAGTGATTTCTTAAAAAATTACCCACTGTTTGTTGTTACCCCTTGTTCCCTCTGTGAGAGATTTGGAATAGACACCTGCTCTCTTATTGACGAGTGTGTGTAACTTTCATTGTCACGTTTATCAAGAGTTGCCCCATGGAGTGGACAAATCGGATTCATGCCCAGACCTCCAAGAGGCTGCTCCTTCAGGTAGCTGGTGGGAAGCCATCTGGAAACAAATGTGTTTTCCCGCTTGCTGAACCCTCACATTTCCAGAGAGGGAAGTGTGAGATGTGAACTAACTGAAACTTGCCACCAGCTTGTCTCATCTCTTGGTGACACTGTTGGAAAAACACAGTGGATAATGACTCATTTCTGTGTTCATGTCCAGATATTAAGTCTCACTTCTTAATATCTTCCCTCTGGCCATCGATAGCTCAAATGCAACAAAATGTTGTAAGCTGGCAGATGATATTCTAGTTAGATGTGAAGCATTTTTATCAAATCAATGTGTCGATGACACAGGGGATAGTCTGCTTCTGACCTAATGCAAAGGTAGGCTAGGAAGCACACGGAAATAGTACTTAGGATCAGAGAAAGGAGGCCTGCAGTTTCCAAGAGAGTGACAGGATCCCTCATTTTCTGTCCTTATTGCTGATTAACCTGTCTTGGTGTTTGGAAGGTAAGCGTTTATCTGCACTTCTCTTGTGCATGCTCCCCATGGAAGGATGTAGAGACCTGGCAGGGTGTTGGGGGCACCCTGCTCTCCCTTGGCCTTTGGCTCGAGACCGGGATTCTCACCTGGGCTTTGCTGCCGTCTGGTTGCATGATCTTAAGCAAGTTTTTTACCTTCCAGGATCTCGGTTTTTCTTCTGTCAAAACAGTTACAGGATCAACGAGTGCCCTTCCTATCTTGAAATCCTGTGCTTTTCCCTTTTCCAGTGACAAATCTAGTAGTTAAACAAGACAAGGTAGTAAGTCTAAGAATAAAGTCAGAACTTCAAATGGCAAACAGGAGACAGGGGACAAGGTGCCCATGTGGGCTACACATTTCATGGCAGAGTTTCAGCCTCAGCTGTACTCTAAAGATGCCAAGAACCGAGTTTTTGGGAAGAAAGACTTCTAGAGTCCAGACAGAGATAACAGCATGAGCAAAGGCCCTTTGAACAGTGAGCTGGTGGCCCTATCCTAGGAGGGAGAAGGTCTTTGTCTTTTTAATGGAGATTTTTTTTTGTCTTTTGTCTCTCTCTGTCAGTTCTTCAGAAAACTCTGAAAGTGTTTTTAGCATATGATTTCAGAATACTTAAAAAAGCATCAATATTTCTCAAGTTATACAGAGATGCTAAAAATGGAGAAATGAGTATCACTTCTACTTATTAATATACTTGTGATAGATAATGTGTTCATCACATTCACTTGCATGTAGATATTACGCTCTTCTAAAGACATATAGCAATTCATCCAAGTTCTTGTAGTAATTATCCAAGGTTCTCTGCCCCTAGTTATAAGAACTTAGTTAAATGTGCTCCTGAGCCTGTCTATATTCTTAATGATCATTTCATTTCCCTCATTAAGCATTTAGGTTGCTTCCTTGAAATCCCCACATTGATAGTGTTTCTCTCATCTTTATGTGCTTTTCATGGAAGCATGAAAACTCCTCAAAGTCAAAGCAATGGCTCTGAAATGAATCTGCTCCAGTCAACAGTCTCCCAACCATCTGGGACCATTGCCCTCAGCACAGGAGCAAACCCTGCACGCTTGAAGATGCCCTGCCTGAAAGCTCCCTTTCCAGGAAATAAGGGCAGAAGAAAAAAGTAGCTGCAATGTTTCATCTTGATGATATGAAAATGAAATATGCCACATAACCATCATGGAATTTAACTGCATCCTCCCAAAATTCCTATGTAAGGTTCCTAATGTTATTCTGTTTGGAGAGAGGGCCTTGAAAGAAGTCATTAAGGTAAAATGAGGTCATAAAAGATGGGTCTTAATCCAATATGGCCTTATAATAAGGGGAAGAGACACCAGATGCACGTGCACAGAGAAAAGGCCATGCACGGACACAGTAGGAGGCTGCCGCCTGCAGCCCAAGGAGAGAGGCCTCAGGAGAAGCCAGCCCTGCCCCACATTCATTGTTCCTGGAATTCCAGCTTCCATGACTGTGAGACAACAAATTTCTGTTTTTTAAGCCACTCAGTCTGGTATTTAGTCTGGTATTAGTCTGGCAGTCCCACCAGTCAAACATGATAGCAATTGATCAGTATAAACAAAAAAACCCACAGAATAGATGCCTTCTAAAATGACAGGAAAACATCCACCAGAGCTGATAGTTCTTTTATAGACGTATCACAGACCGGTTGGATATGAAACAAAATACTCAGAGCTCTCCCTCCTTCTAAGCATTTGCTGGCGGGAAGTTCAAATGTGAAAAGCCAAACAAATGATCCCAGATGATGTTAACTGAAGAAAACGTGTCGGGCAGCAAAGGCTTTCTGACCAGCACCTGTTCTTGTGGGCAAAGCCTGTCTATCAGCAGAGATGGTGGCACAGTCCTGGGAACAAACTTTTCTAGGGTGATACATCTTCCATGAACGAATTGTTGGAGGTCTCTGCTCTCAAGGAAATATGTTTGAGTTTTGAAATGTTTGATTTTCTCCTTTGAAACTGAATGGATTGAGGGGGAGGGAGGAGAGAGGAAGCTGCTGGCGCAGGGATGCTTTCTTTTTCCTTGTATTCCAGATATGAAGCTAGTTTTATCTGTCATGTGGCAAAAGTGACCATAACTGCGCCTTTTATCTTATTTATGGAATAGAGCCACAGGGACTATATTTAGCTCTTCCATTCTGTAAGAGCCTGTGGGTCAGCTGATGGTGAATGGATGTCCAGTTGCTGAGAATACTTGCATCTCCAGAGAAATTCCTACGGAAGGGCTTTCCCACCAATATCTTGAAGTTGGAATCTGAGGTTCGTAAGTTCAAGGGGAAAAACAAACCAAAGAAAACAAACAAAAACTCTCCACCACCACAAAAGCAAAGATAACTTACAGAGGAGTTGATTCAATCCACACAAAACCCTTGGTGTGGAGAGGTAGGAAAATAATATTATACCTACTTCACAGAGGGAGAAATAGGGAATGGAGAAAAGATGGAAGGAGGGAAGGAAGGAAAGAAAGAAGCAGGCAGGCAGGCAGAGGCAAGCACTGGGGTTCAGCCTGAGGGGAACACATGTTTGATGCATGTGGTTGTATTGAAGGGCATGTGCTTTCGGTGGTGCAGACCATGGCACAATAATGGACTCTTCTGAAACACTGCCGCCTGG